AACAATACACTTTCCCTTTTTAAAATATGTGTAAAAAAATAATGTTTTTATTGTTCTTTCATATTTTGTTTCATCTCTCTACATTTTAATTGTTTAAATCTATATTTACTTTGTGTATTTATGCTTTTATAAACTATCTTTGCACATATTGTATTATATCATATCATATCGCTGTGGTTGTCAGAAGAACTTTTTCTACCATTCAGTAAAAGGATATTAGTCCTCTGTATTTTACTGTATAAACAAAAGTTTTTACCATCAAAAGAAGCTGTTTTGCCTCATGAAAATACCACAAATGATGTATAAATAAAGTTTTTGCCACAAGATATAAGAGTGTTTTACTGTTAAAGAAACTATATTTAAACTATTTACAGTCTTTTACTGTCGTGGTTTTTACATTTTTCACTGTAGTGCTTTATTTTATTTGTCTAAAATCGAATAAATAAGCATCAAAATTACATTTGCGGCTGATAAATAACTTGTAAAGACTTTAAAATCACTTCCTGTATTGAGTCTCGATGTCAGTCAGCCGAAGGCCTTTCTCACAGCGGATATTTGGACTGATCATAACAGGAGACAGGTGCACAGGTGTAATTAATTACAGTAATTATAACAGCTGTCCAATCAGAGCTGCTGTTTGGCTTCATCTAATGTGACAGAAAACAAATGAAGACTTAGATGGAATATGAAAAGCAATTTAATCACCAATTTATTCTGCATTATTACATCAAACTCTGTGTTTGGAAGATATGCGAAGGACTACATTTCTGGACTGATTTTGGACTTATTAAAGCCAGCAGAGCTACAGCACTATATGAAGAGTGTGACAGTGAGGGAGCTTTCAGTCTGCAGACTAACTTTACATTACTGAGAGCGAGTAGAAAGACTTTGTTACATAAATATCATTAAATATGGAAATATTGGCTTCTGAAAGGAGTAAACATGCATATGGAAATGTTTCTATCTGATATTGGTGCAAGCTGTGTATGTTTATCTGATGGGATGTTATAACATAAGATGTTTATCCAGGTTCAACAGTATTATAAATATGTATTACACAGTACAGTGACTGTGATAGCACCACCTGCTGGAGAGAGCAGCCACTGCACTCTATGTGACACAGATACCAAATCTTTATTCTTTATTCTTACATTAGATCTAAATCAGCTTCCTCAGAGTGGTCGCTTGTCTTCCTGTGGTCCACACAAAGTTAAGTGATCCCTTATTGATCCCCGTAGGTAAATTCCTTCTATGTATTTGACCCGTACGTTATAATAAAAACAAACAACATCAATAAAACAAGAAAATGCAAAACAAGCCAAATATAAAACTCATAAAATAAGTGGAATGATTCCACATATGCAACAATAAACATCTGCAATAGAAACAAAACCAAAATAGTCACAAATACAACATCAAAAACATGAATAAAAACAACTGACAAAGGTTTCAAAACAGCAAAAACATCTATTTAAGATTATTTTGTGACTTTTGGAAAGAACATGTTTGATCTGTCTAGTTGGAGAGGAGAGAACATAGTATCTATAAAGAACAGTTCTCATCATACAGGTTGTCTGTTATAGTTTCCCACTAAAGAAGAGTGGTTTATTATTCCAGACGACACTTTGCATGAAAAACACAAGTCTAGATTTTAATTTAGCTTCCACAGTTAGCTGAGATAATCCTTCATCTCACACACATCAGCACAGAAAGAGCGATGGAGAACTCATCTGGCTGCTCCGTTCTGTGTAATCTGAAGCTTTATAAAACCTGAAAATGAACAATTCAACCAAAACTCAGATAAGCAAAACTTGCCACAGTAAATTACAAAGTATTCAATTTACATAATCAACAATATTTGTCAGGTGAATCTTATTATATATTCACAATGACTCACACTGAGCTCACAGAAACAACTCCTGAACAGTCTGTTAATTAATGCTGCAGAAACAATGAATCCAATCACAGAGTCGATGTGTCACCACTGACATTCAGGACAGGAAGGTGTCTAACATCTTTATTCACTGTCAACCACTCAACTCCATCCTTTAGCATTAGTGTGTCCATCACTTCCAATTATATTTTATAGGATTCATTGATTCATGTTGGTGGTAAAAGAACATTTTCCCCTCGAGGTGCAATATTTAAATCCGTTTTAATTCTCAAACTGATTTTAACTGTTGATCTAATTTATTTATGATCAGCTGAAAGGGAGGTAAACTTCAGATTATACCTGATTGTACCCGTATGTGGTCAAATAAGTGTAAATTTAGACATTACATGATCAAACTTTATGGAGCAGTGCTACAGAGTGTAAACTGTGGATAAAACCAAAAACCTGAGGATGTCTGATTATAATCACATCAGCAGAGGTCAGGTAAAGCACGAGCATTTATTGTTACTCCACAATCAGTGTTTTTGATTTCTCCGCTGTAAATAACAGCACATAGGTGTAAAGAATGTATACGACAGGAGGTTTTATGAACCTACATGAGGGATTATAACCTACATTCTTGTTTTTTCTAAGCAGCTTTGAAGGGACTTTACTGAATTTGATCCGTAAATCTTGCGGACAATAGTGATGACAGGAAACCGTGCACAGGGAGAGCAGATGATATTAATCCCAGTGAAATGCCGGTATAGAGATATCCATTAATACTTTGTTTAACTATCCTGTTACTGGGTCAATAAGGAGAAAAAATCTAAATATAAATACACTTCTTTCTCCTGCATAGTAATAACTGCAGTAGCAGTAAATAGAGGCAAAACTGATTATTTTGGTCCACCTGTGTTTGTCCTGTTGATGTTTGACTTTGAAGTAAAAAAGTAAAAAATCCAAAAAACCAAAACCTCCTGCTGTTACAGACAAGGTTAATACTAAATTAAATGCACTGCCCTTTAGTATGCTATCTTTTAATTTCACTTTATGACTTTTGACCCACTATGGGTAATATTTAATTATATTTTAACACAGGGGTCTCAAACTCAAATTAGCTTTAGTCTGGGAAGACGGAAATGTCTCGTGGGTCGGTAGTTTGAGATTCCTGTTTTAGGGAGTTACAGCATCTGTCAGTTATTAGAATAATGATAAAGTATAAATTAAAGATAAATATATAAATAAATATGAAGGCAAATTGTGCACACAGCAACCATAGCCAGCAGAGGAAGCACAAGTACTTTACTGTATTTAAAGGTCCAGTGTGTCACATTTAGGAACATCTATTGTTAGAAATGGAATATAAGTATGTTTTTATTATTCAATAATTAAAATAAAAATCATTGTGTTTTCGTCACCTTAGAATGAGTCGCCTTCATTTGAGCGGCCACCAGATCCTACACACTGGACCTTTAAGTCGTTTCAACCAATCCCAGTGTATTCAGTCAACTATTTTCTTTTAGCTCCTATATTTTTACACACATCTACTTTCTACCCCTTACATTTTAAAAACAGACTCATTAGTTTTATTGCATTTCAGGTTGTCGCATCTTTGCGCTCCTTCCCAACAACAAGACTTTTACACAAATATCTACTTCTACTGTGGGTACTCTTGCCACCTCTGACACTAAAATTAGACCTCACAATATATCACCTTGCCTACTGTATCGCAATATATTAAAATATATTAAATTGCAACCCCTGTATCGTGGTATGTATCATATTGCCAGATTATTGCCCTAACTGACAGTCCAGCAGCCTAAAGACAGATTTACTCCTGGACAACGTGTATGGTCTGGGACAGTGGTTCCCAACCTTTTTCCTGGAGGGACCCCTTTTCTATTTCATATTCCTCGTTTAGGGAACTTTTTATACACAATTCTCTGTCTGTATTATGTATTTTAAAAAAAAATAATTTTTAACAATCATACAGACTTAATAGCCTTCTTTTGACAAATTCAATGTTTTCTTCTCCCTGATGCTTGGCCATTGTTCTATTAGACAATATCCTTAGTTTTCTTCACAGAAGTGAACAAAATCCTGAGATATAGACCACCCGCTTTATATTTTTTAAGTTTTCTAACACGCCTTAAAATCAAGAAGCTTCCCCCATGAAGCTTTGGCAACCCCTAGTCAGGGTCCTGACCCCCAGATTAGAAACCACCAACAAAAGACTTCTTCAGTCTGTCTGATGAGCAGGACTGAGACAGTGCCATTTACACAACAATATCTAAAGCTTTACAAACACTGTCTGTGGTCACTTGCTGTGAGACCCTGTGGTTTGCAGGACAAATCAAGTTCACCTCCTGTTCTTTTGACACGCTGCACTAACAAGACTAGCTTAAGTCTGGCAGCTCTATTTAAATGTCACTGCTTTAGCAAACCTAAATCCTTAATTGTTTTAACTTGTCAGCGGTGGTTGGCACCTGGAAGGTAAATAAAGGTTAATATGGGTCATAATGTCATCGGCCAGTGGCCTCGCAGAACGCCATCAGCAGGACAATAATCTGATATCCAGTAAGAAGATTCAATTATGAGAGGAAAGTTATGTTGGATACTTCTATTGTGTAGAAATTCCCTCTGGTTAAGTTATTAATGCCTGTTAATAAGATGATGTCACAACTTTATTTATATATCAATAAAAAGCTAAAGATTAAATGGCCTCGACTCACTTCATGTCCTGAAGATTTCTGCACCCCCTCCCAATCAGGAAGTAGGCTAATGCTTAAAGCCTTTATCCTCTTTTATGTATCCACAAGCCTTCCTTTGTTCCCCTGCAGTATAGGAGTCTTAAAGCATTGCACAATAAAAACCAACATGAACAATTTATTGTGAATTTGAAGAAACTTAACCAAAAAAAAAAAGTACGGTATTTTTTAAAGTATCTACTAAGAAAAAAAAGTGTTTCTTTCCTCAAAAAGAATGAAAAAAAAGGAGACATGCAATGGTATTTTCCAATAATAGCCTTCCAATATGACTTCCTTGAGTAATCTGTAGGGATTTTATAAAGATTAATGTGTGCGTTCATATGCGTCCATAAATACCATAAATGTGAGGAAAACAACACAGCTTGTTGTCAATGATTCTGTCTTTAAATCACCAAAATCAGGTGTGAGCACCATAAACTCATGAAGGGTTTATGAAATGAAAGCAGGTGAATTCATGATGGGCATTTGTTGAGATGTACCACACAGCCAACGTCATGTCAGCCAGGCAGCTCAGCAGAGGATAATAGTATTTAGATGTCCTGTAAGCACGCGGATCCTCTCAGTCAGCAACATTAATGGGGCCATGAGGCATCCTGCTCATGTCCTCCAATGCTTAGGTGCAGTGGGTATTAGACAGCAGTAATGCTGGCTGGTCTGAGCGTGCTGCCTGCTGTGTAGTCTGGGGGGATCAACATGGGGAGCACCAGCAAGGTGGCTAACTTGTGGAACAGGAGACAGAGTCTCTTCCCCAACTACAAAGTCAGTGATTCAGACATTCAACGAAGACCCTCGGAGATTGCTTATCCGCTAGCCAAGGAAAGCTGCGTGAAGACATGGAACTCCATGCAGGATCTGAGCAGGGACATCTACGACATTTACGCAGAGTATGAGGACGAAGAGGACGACTGTGCGCCGTACGGCTTCTCCAAGCAGGTCTCACCCTCCAAGAAGAACTACGTGATCAACATCAATGTAGGAGGGAAGCCCTACCAGATAGCCTACAAGATGGCTGCCAAGTATCCCAAGACCAGAATAGGACGACTGGCCACCTACACGGACCACAACATGAAGCTGGACCTGTGCGATGACTACACTGTGACCAACAATGAGTACTTCTTCGACAGGGACCCAGACGTCTTCCACAGCATCTTCAACTTCTACAGGACCGGTGTGCTGTGGATCAAGGACGAGTTGTGTCCCCGCAACTTCCTGGAGGAGATCAACTACTGGGGCGTGAGGATCAAGAACACCCACCGCTGCTGCCGCATCTCCTTCGAGGAGAGGCAGGACGATTTGAACGAGCAGCTGAAGATCCAGAGGGAGCTGGAGGCGGAGGTGGAGATCGAGGAGAACGAGGAGCTCTTTCATGACATGTTCATCGGCCAGCAGCGGCGAGCCATCTGGAACTTGATGGAGAAGCCGTTCTCGTCCATCAAGGCCAAGCTGATGGCGTTGGCCTCCAGCCTGTTCGTCCTGATCTCCCTGGTGGCTATGACGCTCAACACTGTGGAGGAGATGCAGTACAGAACTGCCAAAGGTCAGCTCAGTGGGAAGACATACTGGGAATACGTGGAGTCCATGTGCATCGCCTTCTTCACCATGGAGTACCTGCTCCGTCTGGTGTCCACTCCTGACCTCAAATCCTTCAGCAGGAGTGTGCTCAACACCGTGGACCTGATCGCCATCCTGCCTCAGTATCTGCAGGGCATCCTGGAGTTCTTTGACAACGAGGAAAACTACATGAAGCACGAGGCTGACATGCAGGCGGTGGGACAGGTGGGGAAACTGGGCCAAGTGCTGCGGATCATGAGACTGATGCGAATCTTTCGTATCTTGAAGCTGGCGCGACACTCCACGGGTCTGCGGGCGTTTGGCTTCACTCTGCGTCAGTGCTACCAGCAAGTGGGCTGCCTCTTCCTCTTCATTGCCATGGGCATCTTCAGCTTCTCTGCCATGGTTTACACCGTGGAGCACGACATGCCGCAAACAAACTTCACCAGCATTCCTGCAGCTTGGTGGTGGGCATCTGTAAGTACATTTTTGTGCGATTTAAAGGCTGCCTGTGGACTGATTTCTATGTTTCTATGTAGAGATAAGGGTCAAAAGATGTGATGTTTATCCTCCTCTCTGCTTCCCTACAGTGTCAACACTAGCTAACGTTAAGCTTATAAATGAGAGAGTCTGCTAACATCTACAAACCAAACCTTCAAATCCAAGCTGGGGTTGTTCGGTTGCCTTTGTCTTGGCTGCACGGTGTGGGTCTGTGTTGTGTTGGTTGTTGTAAACAGCGAGTTAGTTAGTAGCATGGAGCTAATGGTCCAAATAAAATACCGAAACTCTCTACAACAAAGGTGGATGTGTGAATGTACAAGAAATACAGAAAGCACAGAAGTATTACAATTAAATCTAAAATAAATCACTTTCCTGAGAAGAAACCTAAGAAACCTCTTATATAAGTTAAATAAAGTGCACTGTCACTGGATTACTTCCGTGCTGACAGTCCCTGGTTGGTGAGTTAACTGTGTAATGTCATCAGATTACTCTGCTTACAAAACACAATGAGGTCTCCTACAGGATGTGTCAGCTCGTGCTTCAGTGTGTGTGACTGCTGTGAAGATTCAATCTACAGCTCGTATATTTATTGGTATATTTACTGATTTATTCTTGGCACCTGGTCAGTTTAACAGGTTGGAATAACCTGATTAATGTCTGCTGCACGTCTTTATCTGAGTTGCCTGCTGCTACGAATAAACCTGTTAACAGATCATTCCCCTCCATCTTTAACTGAGCGTTAGAATCTTACTTCTAATCCAGGGGAAGGAAATGATAATCCTCAAAGTCATAGTAATGGTTATATAGTAAAGAAGTCCTGTTGGATTCACATGCAGAGGGGATTGTGAGGACCCAGATCAGTCAGTCTGTGAGCAGGATATCCAATAAATCTATGAATGGATTCTCACAAAACGTTTTTGGAAAGGTGGACGAGGGACATCGTGACATTCGCGTTTGAAAGAATCAAAAATGGGATTGGTAGAATTAGTTCTTCACAACATCATAACTATCTGAAGGGATTTGGTCCTTGGACTGGTTTTTGAGCTTTTATTGAGTATTATTGTGAACATAATTGGTCATTTTTATTTAATAACTGTCATTACAAAGACTACCCACAGTTCACAACACTAAGTGGGAGATACTGACGCCTTGATAAAAGTCTCTCAGCCCACAAAAGAGATTTATTACTGTGTTAAGGCTAACATAAACATTCATTTGGTAGCTCAAAATATGATGTAAACACAGTTTTAATCAGCACTGCAAACATTTCAGTGAGTAACAGTTAAATTTAAGTAGGATTTTCTGTTAATACTAAATGTATAAAGCATGTAACGTACAGTAAACTCTGCACTGACTGAAGACCAAGCAGCAACAGTGCAGTAACAAAACCTGCAGTTCCTCTAACCACCACTAGAGGCTGGCTCCAGCAGTGAGTTAATCCCCATAAGGCTCCATTTTAAAATGCTCAACTGTACAGCAAAAATGTATTTGTATTTCAAACTCCTTATAACATTATTTACAGGGATATATTAATAGATCAATTAACAGATATATTAAATTATATTAAGGTCTGTAATTATGTAGAAATGTGTTATTTTATTTTTTAATCATCTTCAAAATGTGGTTTGTCTGTTCAACATAGATTAGTCTAGCACGTAGCATATCTAAGTACAGGAAAGGAGGAAGTTGACGGAGGTTTGCTCAACTGTTATTGGATCACAGAGCCAAAGGGGGAGGGGTTTAGGAAGGGTCAGTTGTTAGGGTTTGCTCAGTTTTAACCCATTAATGACTAACGACTATATTCAAAAAAGCCCTAAAGTTCAAGACCTGATTTTCTCGTCTCTAGCATTTAAAGTCGTTCTGAATCCAACTGTACCAAACATTTAATATAACTACTTATAGTTTTTGAGATAAAGCTATTTCTGTAACATAATATACTTATTAGAAGTTACTTATTTTATATTTATTGCATAATGGCGATACTGCACCAATAACATCCCGAGTGTCATTTTTCTGTTTGAATCTATATTGAAACAGTCCAGAATATGTGTATGAAAGTATGTATGTAAAGAAAAGCCTCATACTTTGACCGATTTCAAAACATGTCAATGGATTTGTGCTCAGCTCAGCTCGTACTTTAAGTGCTGTAATCCAGTCGGCCACTGATAATCACTCTCTGCTGTTAATGTACAGTTTATTATAACTGACTGCTCTCTCGCTCTCCTCGCTCCCCTGCAGGTCAGCATCTCCACGGTGGGCTACGGAGACATCTACCCGGAGACCATACTGGGACGCCTCTTTGCTTTCATCTGCATTGCTTTTGGGATCATCCTCAACGGTCTGCCCATATCCATCCTCTTCAACAAGTTCTCAGACTATTACGCCAAACTCAAGTCCAACCAGTACACGGCCTCCACGAAGAAACGCGGGAAGCTGAGATTCGGCAACAGGACCTTAAAGCAGCTCAACCAGTGCTTCGGGACCAACAACTGTCCCACACATTCACTTCCTACTTCATAAAGGAATAATACACTGTAAAACCCTGCAAGAATAGTAGTGTTTGAGGGACTAAAGACGAGGGATCAATCCCCAGAAGTGGCACATCTGGATGTGAAGTCCAGTAAATTGGCAGCTCTTGTTGCTGGGAAGCCGGTGAGGGATATTCACCCTCTCTAAGCCTGTTAGTTTGTGAATGGGAATTTGCCATATGGGGAGAAAATTAAGTTTTAATATTTTGCTTTTTGTACACAGGTAACCATATTTTTGCTACTAAATAGCCAGAAGCATGAAAAGAAAAACAAAAGATGAAAGAAATATCCCCATTCAGTTTGTATATAACATATAACAACTCTAGATTATTATATAGAACAATTACAGTTACACAAGCATTGTTCAAACACACATAAGAAGATCTCAAAGATGGAGGAAGAATTTGGGGGAAATGTGTATAAAATGAACACATCTACAGCGATGCAGCTGCACACATACGTGGGTTTGAATATTTGTCTCAATGTAAGTCGGCTTCAGTGAAGTTGGAGCCAGAATATAAAGAATATTATTAAATCTGAAAGCCTTCTGACTCCCCACAGATACAGATACAGTCAACATCCTGCTGTTTGGGTGGAGAGGTCAAACTATGGAATGAATAAGCTTTTTATTTTCATCGCAGCAGCTCTCAGAGCATCGACCTTTTTGTTTATCTGCATTATAATTCTACGCCTTTTGGAAGATTTGCTTTCAGGGAGCAGCTTAACCAGGAATCAGCAACAAATATCAGTTTATTTCTCTTTTTTTAAGTCTGTGTGCTCACACAGGAGATCTGGTGCGGCTTTTCAAGTGTTTGCAGTGTTCAATAGTTTCGCCTTTACAGTACGCAGAATGATTTACTGACAGTGTGCAACCAGTTCTCAATAAACACTAAACTGCTCATTAAACTGTCGTCCTCATTGACTGAAGTTCATACGTCTCATACGTTCATACGTCTCTACTGGATATTATATTGCACAACACTATTTCTTGGTGTGTAACAAGTTGTAATATTTCAGTTCAGAATCAGAAATATTTGATTAATTATTGATCCCAGGGGGGGAATTCGTTTCTTTACAGTTGCTCACAAGATATTCAAGAAATTATTAATAATAATAAGAATGTTAAAATAGGTATTATATTACAATATCTAACAAAAATATAGAGATATAATAAGAGTCTGTAAATTATAACACAATGTTTGACAATATATAGAAGATAGAAATATATGTGGTACGTTGTATGACAGATTAATAAACAGTAATAATTTCATAACATCAACTGATTTATGTTATTAGAATATAACTTACAGTTTATGTAACAAAAACAATATTTTGTACAGATTATGTGAGTTAAAACCATGTATTTATTTATAAATATTCAGCATTGTGTTGAACAAAATATGCGAATGTATTAGTTTAACAGTATAAAAATATTATTATTATTATTATATATTAATATATTTACACAATATATAACTGTATTAATTGTTTTTAATATACAGTTGAAAACTCAAGAGCATGTGGGAAAATCCTTGAAATTTTATTTTTTTAACATGAAATCAAATTAGCAATTAACAGAAAATATTTGAAGAAAAAATATTAAGATACAATATATCTCCCCAGTTTTATATTTATATTTATATATTACATATTCACATCCTTTCATCTGATGTTAATTTAAAATGTACAAAAGAAACAATATTAATAATAATAATATTGAATTTTATAAAAAAGAAATAATGCCTAAAGAGAAATAAAAACACCCAGTTTAAAACATCTGAGAAAAACAATCTATAAACAATCTATAAATAAATCAATAATCAATCCATAAAAAAATAAATAAACAATGAATAAACAATCTATGAATAAATAAACAATAAATAAATCAATAAACATCAATAAA